CTTTCACAGTATATGCTTGTAAAACACATTTATCCTTAAGTAGTCAGGTACGGATAAAGAAAACTTAGAAAATAATTACAATTTAACAAACTTCTTAATGTATGTTTGGCTACTCACAGACTAAGAAGTGAAACATAACTTGCCTTAGCCTTGAAATAGGAGAAAAACAGGAACTCAGAAATCTAACTTTGTCACTGTTTGAACTAAACAATTCACACATGTTAAATCTACTAAGCATTAGAGATTACATTTTTAACGTTACAAAGATTTCCTCACTAAAAAATATTTCACCTCTCATACCTTAAATAGTGAGCCCGTCCAGTGCATGTAAAGATTTTTTTTAAAGGACTAGTAACTGGAGAATAAGCAAACTGTAAATTATTAGGTGCCAAAATCAATTAACATCAATCAGAAAGAGGAACAAATTCCTGAATTTTCATGCAAATGATATACTATGACAGTGATCTATCTCAATATGTATTCTCTGCATCCACTGCGTTATATTATACTCTAACATTCATTAGTGAGAGTGAATAAAAGAATTTTTAGTAATATTTACTGATTTCCTACCCTGAAATGAAGTAAATTAGAAAGTTTTTGTTTCTTCCCTAACAGCAAAGGTCCAATCCTGGAAGGTTTGATTCTCTTACTCAGCAGTTGGGTTGACTCTATGACCCCTATTCTCTCCCTGATTGTAGATTCTGAGATCGATTACATACACATCACAAGAAAGAAGAAATCTTTCATCTTCGCATTAATGACTTGCAATTTGAAACTGCAAATTTTGGACCACTGGGAATGACTGTTCCTTACATGAAACTAACTCGGTGGCCATCACTGCTATATGATTTACAATTTCAACTGCTTATATCACATGATTTAATATTTGACATCACCTTGTTTATCATGTGAGGAAGTTATAAAAATGGAAGAAGTAAACAATATTCAGGAAGGTTTTTTGCCTCAATTCCAAGGATAAAGTTTCACAATAAATTATTATAGATCCTAACAATACTTTAAGATTTGTAATCAGATAAAATGCCATTAAAAACTAAATATTAAATAATTATTTATTGACTCTAAAAGTCTAGTCTGAAAGGCAATTTCTTTTGAACTGTGTTATTAAAGCACAGAAAACAGTATTAAACAAGAAATTTAAATTTACATTTTTACATACCTGTGAGCGGTTATTTTCACTTCCATCAAGTCTTTCTTGCTCTTCCTCAGATGCCCTTTGTAAGTCTAGGTCTGCTGAAAAATGAATATGCTTAGTTAAAATTCACTACTTAGAACAGCCAGATAAAAGGCATCATCTTTATAAAAACAGAAAAAACATTTCATCAATTGACAGTTTAAATTAAGCTTAATCTTTAGCTGGATATTTACTTCTTTAAGAAATACTTCTAATTATCTAAAACTTCAACAAACTATTTGGGAAATACTAGATGTTACCAGA